ATCACAACTGAAGAACTGCTTGATAAATGGGACAAGGTAAAACAAAAATATATATAATTATAAATATATTGCAGATGTAGAAGATATATATATATATATATATATATATATATATATATATATATATATATATACATATGTTTCATTATAAAATTCTTCTGTTTTGAAGGTGAAAAAGCTGGTCCCTCAAAGAGACAGTGCCCTCCAGGAGGAGATGGCTCGCCAGCATGCCCATGAAAGGCTGAGACGTCAGTTTGCTGCCCAAGCTAATCTCATTGCTCCTTGGATACAGACCAGAATGGAAGTCAGTTGTGGATGAAACACATACTAACAATCCCAGTGATGTTATTAAAACCAATAAGGGTTTAAAAATGAATTATATTGTAAAATTGTGGTGATTAATGAATGGATCTAATGCTTTAAATCCAATCAATGTTGAAAGGTGCTAAGAAACTTGTGTAACCACTATGTGTGATATTGTACTGTAATGCCAGGAAATTGGACGCTGCTCACTGGAGATAGGTGGCACCCTTGAAGACCAGATGACCCAGCTGAAACAGTGTGAGCATGTCATAGTAGCTTACAAACCCAACATCGACAAGCTGGAAGGAGACCACCAACTCATCCAAGAGTCATTGGTGTTTGACAACAAACACACAAACTACACTATGGAGGTACACAACACTGAAACGAGATTTGGTTTGGATCAGGTTTTTACTTAGTTTTGTTTCAACAGCACATTCGTGTTGGATGGGAGCTGCTCCTCACCACTATTGCTCGAACCATTAATGAGATTGAGACCCAGATCCTGACTCGTGATGCAAAGGGTATCAGTCAGCAGCAGATGAATGAGTTTAGATCTTCTTTTAACCACTTTGACCGGGTATTTGAGTCTTATTTATGCAATATAATTTTCTCATGTATGCTAGTTTCTATTAATGGTGCATTTCCTTGTCACTTATTCTTTGTATTTGATATGCTGTCTAATTTCAGAAGAAAAATGGTGCAATGGAAACGGATGACTTCCGTGCTTGTTTGATCTCAATGGGTTATGACTTGGTAAATCTACAGACAAATATGAGACCACATTAAACGTGACAGCTTGTTGACTCTCTAATGTTGTCTCCCACAGGGAGAGGTAGAATTTGCCCGTATAATGCTGCTTGTCGACCCTAATGGCACTGGAATCGTGTCCTTCCAGTCGTTCATCGACTTTATGACCAGAGAGACTGCCGACACAGACACCGCTGAGCAGGTCGTGGCATCTTTCCGCATCCTGGCAGCTGACAAGGCATGTGTTCACAGCGCAGTTCTGTGTGACTTATGGTATTTGGATGGATATTTTAGAATAAATCTAATCTCTGATCTGTGATTTTACATTGCAGCCCTACATACTTGTTGAGGAGTTGAGAAGAGAGCTCCCTCCTGAGCAGGCAGAGTACTGTATCACGAGGATGCCACCATAAAGGCCCTGGAGCACCACCAGGCGCACTAGATTACACAGCCTTCTCCACTGCCCTCTATGGCGAGAGTGACCTTTAACCTTATGACCCCCCCTTTCTCTATCCTATTATTAACCAGCCCTCTATCATGTGAGGTTTAATTATTGATAATGCAGCCATGATCCATGTTATCTGTGCTAGTTCCAGGGTGCCTTCTATTAGAAATGTTGTTACATTGTTTGTCCACATTCATGCTGTGCATTGTTCTATGTACTAGGCCTTTTTTGTCATAATTGGCATAATAAACGTCCCCTGATTTTAGAGATTTAAATACGATGAAAGACACTAATGCTTTTATAACTAAACTAAAAACAAAGGACAGTACTGATTTTGTCCAATGGAAGTTTTGCAATGCAATCAGCTAGTATTACTTGTAACATACTTCAATTACGATTCCCCATTGACCTGACTGCAAACAAACTGCCGTCCAGTTTTTGTATTATTAAATTGATGTATTTGCATTTTGCATTGGTTACTTCAGTCTAAACTGTCTAATAAAGAACTATCATCACAAATGCAGAATGTGTAATGTCCTTCATCATAATCATAAATATAGCTGCAAGTGGCAATGATCGGCCGCGGCCTGCCCATGCAAATGCCACACCCTCCAATTGCAGCGCACCGCACTCGCTGCACCCCACACTAATCCTAATAACTGTTAACCCCAACCATGATGCTAGGCCTAACTCTAAACACAACCCTAAGCTTAAACCTAACCCTAATTATTGTAACCCCAACCCTAACCATAGCCCTTAGACTAACCCTGCCATTTTTCAAAAATTTGACATGTTTATTTAAAAAATAAAATCAAATCACAATATACATTGCCATGATGCATCTAGCTACCAAATTTGCTTTGGCCAAAGTTTGTGTAATGACATCCCATTGGCAAGGACATCATTTTGCCCTGTTGCCATGGCAATACAATGTAAATGGAATGTGGGGTCATAATTTTTTTTTTATTGAGACCATGCATAGCAAATTTTGTATATTTATGACAAATAAAATGTTAATGTTCCATACAAATTGTCTAGGGGGCGCTATTGCACCATGGATCTATTAAAATAAAATGCCTTTGCGTTGCCATAAGAGATATAAACTTGTTTTGATTTAAATTTACATGTCATTTGAGGAGAGAGCCACTGTAAAACCATGTAAAAAAAAAACATGTAAAACCCGGACAACAGGTGACAACAATGAAATAAATGTAGGAGACATTATTTCACCACCAACATTTTTGTATTTATCACTTGAAATATCTCATAAATACCTCATAATTGTCCTAAATCATCGCGTTACATACATTAGGTGTAGGGCAGGTGCCACTAGCATTACAGTGACCTAATATATCCTGATACATTTACGTGAGTCATTATTTACAGATTATGTACTTTCTTCCCATTGTGAAAATACCAGACATGAGTACTATTTCATGTTTTATCCTCATAATTGCATTAACTTGAAACGACAAATCAGATGTTTCGTCTAGTTACTTTTAACTTAAGTTACTTGAGGAGTAGTTTCCCCGAATACTTTTACTCTTAGCTACTTAACACATTTTTTGGACTTCCACTTTTTACTTAGACTTGAGAAACATATTTTGAAGTAACTTTACTCTTAATTTAGTATCATTTGTGGCTATTTTACCCAATTTCATGGACATCAGTGACGGGGCGACATTGAGCTACAGTCGTCCCTCGCTATATCGCTATATCGCTATATCGCTGTTCACCTTTCGCTGTCTCACCGTTTCTCGTTTTTTGTTTTTTTTTACAGCATATGAAAGCGTATTGTCTATTACAGGCGGGTAGTTATTATCCACGGGTGGGTCAGGACTAAACCAGGACTAATCTTGGACTTAAGAAAGAGAACGCTGAGCAGTTTGTCAGCAAAGCGCGATCGGGCAATTGCTGTGTTTACCGAGCCGGTCTATTCTCCTACGGTCACCTCCGAGCCCGTCCCGACGGTGAGTCCTGTTTCAGTTCTGGTTTAGTCCTGGTTTTTGTCCTGTTTTAGTCCAAGTTCAGTCATGGATTAGTACTCCTCTTCAGTCCTGAAATCAGTCCTGGGTTAGTCCTGGTTTAGTCTTGGTTCAGTCCGTGGCGTAGGCAGCGCCAAAGTTTGATATTATCTCAGGTTAACGGGCAGGTGCGGTCCTGTACTGCGTGGTTGCGGTGTTGTATTGGTGGTCTCCAAAAATGGACCCGTGCGGGACTCTGCGCTGTAGGCTCCATTACAGAATAAATGAATCTTCAGTTTGTTACATAAAGAAGGAGGAAAATAACACAAGGACGACAGCAGCAATATGTTTTAAGAAGGAAGTAAAAAGGGTTGCACCTGTCCTGTCTGAGAAAAGTTTATAAAGTGTGTGCTGAGGGGTTTTACAGCCTTAAAACAGAAAGAATAATTGTAAAATATAAAGTTGACTACTTCGTGGATTTCACCTATCGCAGGTTATTTTTAGAACTTAACCCCCAGATAAACGAGGGAACACTGCAGTCTCACCTCACAACCTGTGCACATGACCTCCCACTTGTCCCGACCGGGACGGAAAACGGAGAATTTCTTGTACAAGTCATTGTTAATGCGCATTTGTGCTTCGGTGTGTTGAAGGCCGACCGACTGTTTGTGTGTGATTGCTCCTTCAGAGTCACAGACGCTACGAGAAACGCTCAGTTTAATGTCCCCAATGAACGGTACTGAAAACCCGGACATTTGCACCACTTTATAAAAAAACAAAACAAAAACGGACGCACAGGACAGGACGCAAAATACGGACATGTCCGGGGAAAAACGGACGTTTGGTCACCCTAGACTGACTGTCACAGCTAAGTTAGTTAGCTTACAACAACTAGCATTAGACCAAATATATTGAATATTTTTATGAAATAAATTAACTGCAGAGTGTCCTAAAAAGGAAAAGTAATCTGACCCGGGGCATGTGAGAGCTTAGGTGGTTGGACTTGAGGCTCGTTCAGTTCAGTTCTGCTGAAAAACAAACGCTGTTAGCTGTTAGCTTAGCTTCGGACGGTGAAATGTGAAAAAAATATGACAAGGGTGTTGTTGAGTTTTCGAATCAGGACGCCAAAACAGAATTTTGTGCACAATTTCTGAAATTTTTTGAAAAACAAATTTTTTTACTCTCATATTAAATTTTATTTCAATCACAAAAGCTTCGAAAAGCTCTGGCGCATTGCTACGTCATGGTGAGTTAACTGATAGGCCCTTCGCCAGTTTCTGGCGCTCGGATCTAATAAAGCATCATTGTAATTTTAAAGATGCTGATTTAGTTATTGAATCATAAGTGGTGCATGTTCTTAATTCTTAGAAAACGAAAGGCACCATATTCATATTATGCATATTTCATTTGTATATTGAACAACTGGAGGTTTATTAAATTTCTTCACGTCCAGTGGCGATCACATGACGAGACTCCGCCCACAGAAGGTGGCCTACCATAGAGGCCCATGCTGAACTCAGAGAACTGGAGACAAGTCTCAAACACCTTTGGCTCAGAGGCATCATTTGTCTTATATTTCTCTTAATGTCCTCCACTTTCAGTCAAAGATGAGAACATGATGGAGACTGGGGATGCAGATGAAGAATTTCAGTTTCTACGACTAGTAAGTCTTGCACTTCTTATAATTGGTTAAAAAAAATAAAAAAGCATCAGTCAACTCGTCAGGTTCACAGTTCTGCATAAATAGGCTGTTCTAAATAGTTCACAAACCAGTTACTTTTCCATTTCACGTATTAGCTGAGTTGATTGAGAAATGTATTCATATTCTGTTACTCATCTATAAGTCATGAAAACAAATATCAGTTGTTGTTTTCAGCATTTGTTTAAACTGATAAAACATATAGCTAACTAGGCCACATAGTCTGATTGGGCTCACTAGGTCTGCACATTTATAATTATTATGCTACTTTGTTAATCATACTCCAGTCCATGTTTTATAATATAGATGCCGAGTGACTTAAACTTTTGAGGTCAGGTCTGCATACAAATACAACTAGTGCTTAATAAAGTTAAAATGTAAGTTATTCTTGAGTTTTTGTTCTTAAATAACATTCTTTTTAACATTATTAACTGTAAGTCATCCTCTGACTGCTCATTATCTCGGGGCTCTGATAAGGGCATGTCACAGAGAACAGTGTCTGGTGACTGGGCATGTGGGAATCAGGGCCCTCCTCATAAAGAAACAGATCCAAATTGTCTCCGAAGCCACTCCATATTATGGACTATATATCCACTATTATGGATTGAGGTGAGGGGAACAGGATCTTCTATCATAATTACTTACAGAGAAACTTCAAACTTTAGAAAATGGGGACTTGTTAACTGTTGCTATGGTGATGTGTCAGTGGGAGGGAGTGTGGCAGACTGTTACCAGAGTTTTGCTGATATGAGAGTGGACAGAAGGGTGAATTAGGGGTCAGATAGTCGACTAAATTCCCTATATGGAAGTATACACCATGTGTGCACAGAGGTGAGACAAAGGAAAGTATTGAACTTTGAATTTGAATGTGACAAATGTGGAAAGTGTGGTATGTAATGTATTGTTGTTTTTGTTTTTTTTCCCCAGGGAGATGAAGTAGTTTTGCAGAGTACTTTCTCCTGTAACTCAGAACCTGTGAAGCTGTGTCTTTCAGCTGAAGGCTTTGGTAGCAGACGCTGTTCTCTTGAGGCAACTTCTAACTCTAAGGTAAAGAAATGGTTCACATTGACATTATTTATTTAAAACAGGGAATTTATTCAGTATATATTGTTTGTTTTCTCAGAATGTTCCTCCCGATGTGTCCCTGTGTGGCTTTGTGCTGTCTCAGTGTCTATCTGTCCGGGCTCTGCAAGAGATGCTGGCCCACACTGAGCAAATATCAAAAAAGGTGAATATTCTACATCTTTTTATTGTATCTCGTAAACTAAGACTCATCTTATGTGATAACGATAATAATAACAAATATGTAACATTTGTATAGCACTTTTCAAGATACCCAAAGATGTTTTACATAAGGCAACAAGAAAAGACAAACATAAGATAACGTTATTAAAAGATGGTTTGAAGAAATGTCTGATATTATAACTAATAAAAAAAAAATTAAAAATTAGATACATCGTACTTTTTATCTGTGCTACACAGTGGCCTTGAAGGTCATTGCACATATGCAGGGCACTCTAATTTTACTCTAGGTCTTTGGTTTGCAATGATCATTTTCTATCATTTCAGATGGGTGCCGATGGGAGCCATCGCACACTTCTGTACGGACAAGCTGTGTTATTCCTTCATTCATACAGTGGCATGGTAAATGACATGCAAAAACAGTAGAGTATCCTCGTAAATCCTAGTAACTTGTATTTATATATTAACCATTAATTGTTTTCCAGTATTTGAGCTGCATGTTTTCATCTCAATCTTCAGCAGATAAGCTGGCATTTGATGTTGGTCTCCAAGATAATAAAACAGGTAATTTAATAGGTGTAACTTAATTTGAACTACTAAAAAGCATCTATGTACGCCCATTTTTTTTAAGATGAAACATGTTGGTGGATAGTGCAGCCTGCATCTAGACAAAGATCAGATGGTGAGAAGGTCCGTGTTGGAGATGATGTTATATTAGTTAACATCTCATCAGAAAGGTATTTGGTAAGTATCTACTGTACTTTTCATTCTTCCAATTATTATTTTTCACATATACCTTGCTGGGTTAGAGTATCAGTCATTTTGCTTACATTTTTGCACATTTATTTTTCAGCATCTGTCCACTGGTGCAGTTTCTGACAACATTGTGGTGTCTGTAGCTTTCCAGCACAGTCTCTGGCGTCTTGGTCCGATCTGCTCTGGTGGAGATGTTGCTCAAGGCAAGTTTCAGTACTATAGTTAATGCATTTTGTTAAACTTCTGAAATAAAGTTACTGAGCGTGTATGTTTATGGTGATACATCTTTAGGATTTTTAAGAGGAGGAGACACACTCCGGCTGCTGCACAGCCACAGTGATGCATGTTTGACTGTTTCCTCTGGAGAGCGTGCAGAGGACTTCCAGAGGTTAGTTTGAAAGCAAGTCAGAGAAATGTCTCGTTTATCTGCACATTTACCATTTCTTATTTACAGGGAATTATATTATGAGACTGGACGAGCCTCTAATCGTGCTTGCTCTCTTTGGAGAGTAGAAATTCTTCAAGTTGTGTAAGTATACTTTTTCTTATCACTCTGGGTGTTCTATTATCAAAAACTGCTTTGTTGTAACCCTGTTTTGTAGACCCTTTTCCTCCGAATAAATAGCTTCCTGTTGTGACATAAATTTACATATGTTTTTGCAGGGTGACTAAATCTTCTCTGAATTTAAATAAGTTATACATATCTTTATCTATCTATCAATCAATTTATCCTAGATGGAGTGGTAGTCATACACACTGGGCACAACCCTTCCGACTGTGCCACTTGACCACTGGGCGATACCTGGGTTTTACTGCAGAGAATGGTCTCCATTTGATCAACAGAGACAATGCTGACATCAAAACAACAGCTTTTTGCTTCAGACCTACAAAGGTTTTAAAAACTGTTTCTCTTACTTTTTGTAGATGTTATGAAATTTTATGGATGTTCTGTTTAATTATTTATAGGAAAAACTTGAGCCTTTTCCAAACACAGTTGTCAGTGGCATGGGAACAGCAGAGATCAAGTATGGTGACTCGACTTGCTTTATTCAGCATGTGTATTCAGGACTGTGGCTAACATACAGCTCTGATGCTAAGTCAACTGGGTCACTGAGTGGTCATCGTAAGGTAAAACTATTCCAGACTATTCAAGACACATCAGAGTGAACAATGTTTCAAATATCTTCTCTTTTCAGGCTATCTTACACAGTGAGGGCCACATGGATGATGGTCTAACACTGTCTCGATCTCAGAATGAGGACTCCTATACTGCAAGACTCATACGTAGCACTGCTTTGCTTTTCACCTGCCTCAATAAGTAAGATACGTAGGTATTCATAAATAATTTTGTACTGTAAATGTTATTTGTTATTTAATTGCTTCTGCTGCATTTCTTTTGTCAGGAAACTAGACAGTCAACGCGGAAACCCATCCTCTGATATTTTTCCAATGAAGACAGTGATGTTCAGTGTTCTGGATCTACTTGAGTTTTTCAAATCACCACCTGACGAGTTAGACATCGAAGTTAAACAGAAAATTCTGATCGAGTTAAGAAAACGTCAGAAAATGTTCCAAGAAGAGGTACAATTGAGTAAAATTAATTTGTCATCATTACTATGTCTTAACTGAACATATCCCATCTTTCCTCAGGGGATAATAGACCTAGTGGTTGAATGTATTGACCATTTGCATCAGTACAGTGATGTGTTCTGTGATGCTGAGGCCATGCAGAGTGAGGGCCTTAAACAGTGGGAAGAGATCATTAAGTCTTTTTATAAAATACTTGGTAAGGAACATATAACATAAAATACAAGGACATACATGTTAACTTCTGTTTTTTGTTTTTTTTTCCCAGCTGCATTGATTAGAGGAAATCGCTCCAACTGTACACAATTCTCAGTCTCTCTTGAATGGCTAGTGAGCAAATTAGAACGCCATGAAGCCTCCTCTGGTAGGAATACTTAAACTTAACAGGTGCACTGTGTAACATTTCTAGTGGAGGGTTCATCACCTGGTTGTCTCCATGGAAATGTTATTGCTTTGTCTAGTACGTTCTACAGTATAAATTACACCTACATATCACGAGGGAGACAAGCAGGTTAGGGTTATGTTTAATGTCATACCATGGAGCATGCCAGGCAAAGCAGTAACATCTCCATGGAGACAAGAAGGCATCCTCCACCAGAAAAGTTGCACAGTGCACCTTTAATACATGAAGTATTTTTTTAACCATTCATTCATAACTTTACTTTTTCTACAGTTCACACATATTTTACCTAATGTATAGCATGTTAGTAATAAATATATTTTATTTGATTTGGTAGGAGTTTTGGAGGTTCTTCACTTTATTCTTCTTGAAAGTCCTGAAGCTGTCAACATAATAAAAGAGGAGCACATTCAGTCCATTGTCTATTTTCTGGACAAACACGGATACAACCACAAGGTAATAAATGGTACCATCTGCATTTTGAGAAGTGTTAGAGCAGTTAGAGTGTGAATATTTTTGTCCCTCATGCTATACATCTATAAAATGCATCTATCTATCTATCTATCTATTTAGCTAGCTAGCTAGCTAGCTAATATAACTTCAGATTTGAATGTCCTGAACTGAACTTAACTGAATAATAATATGTCTCAAATTCCATGTCACATTTGAGTTTGTTGTTTGTATATGAGATGCTGACAGTGTATCTTCCAGGTGTTGGAAGTGCTCTGCTCTCTGTGTGTGTGCCATGGTACTGCAGTGCGCTCCAATCAGAACCTTATCTCTGACAGCCTGCTGCCATACAGAGACCTGCTGCTCCAAACTCGTATGGTTAATCAGGTCATCAGGTAAAATTTGGAAATTGTCTCAGTAGATAATGTTTTTTCTTCCTTAAATGAAAAAATAAATGTTTAAATTGCTTACCCTAAATGTATTAAATTTGACTTAGGATTGTAAAATGTAAAAACAAAAAACACTATCTTCTATCACTCCAGTATAAGACCAAACATTTTTCTGTCAATGGAAGACAACTCTGCCCAGCATCGGAAGTGGTACTATGAGGTGATTATTGATCATGCTGACCACTTTGTCACACCTGAGCCCACTCACCTGCGGGTGGGTTGGGCTTCCACTCACACTTATAAACCCAGGCCTTCAGGAGGGGACGGCTGGGGATGCAACGGGGTTGGAGATGACCTCAGCTCCTTTGGTTTTGATGGACTGCACTTATGGTCAGGTGTGTAACCACAAATGTAATACAAGTTTAAAGGGCTCATATTACGCCATTTCCTGATCTATTTTATAATTTCGTTTCCTCATCACAAACATATTTGGTGTTTTGTTTTGTTTTGTTTCATTCATACATGTTTAACACAGAAACCCTGCATATTTAGGCTGAGTTCTTCTCTCAAACAGAAAACCCTCTGTTCCACCTTGTGACATCATGTGGTAGAGTTTTCCAATGTGTTTTAAACCCCGTACACCTTCACTTATAATTTCTGTCTTGGAATTGCCAATCTCTACTGAAGTGATGGTAAAAGATTGCTGTTAACCTTGAAAACTACCCGTATATGACATCAGAAGGTGTAACAGAGCATTTAGACAGACGAATAATAAAGGGTTTCTCAGACATGTGTGAATGAAACAAAACACAACTCCAGGTATGTTTTTGATGAGATTACAACATGACTTAAATTTCAATTTAAGAAAAAAAGTTCAGTTTTGTGTAATATAGGATCTTTAATAGACTAATGTAATGTATATGCAAGATGCTCCAACTTGCATGCAACTGCTTTCTTGGGAGTTTAATATATATTTCATTTGCTAATACAGGTTCAGTTGGACGCAGGGTAAACTCCCTTTTTCCTCATTTGCTCAAAGACAATGATGTAGTCAGCTGTTGTGTGGACCTCAGTGCTCCTTGCATCTCTTTCCGAGTCAATGGTCTGCCTGTTCAGGGGATGCTGGAGAACTTCCATACGGATGGGTTTCTTTTTCCTGTGGTTAGTCTCTCAGCAGGAGTCAGGTGAGTGGGATAAACTTAACTAATCTAACTAATGGGTATCACCAATGGCTACTACAGTGTCCAGACTCAGTACAAATGTTTTTTACTAGGATTCGTTTTTTGTTTGGGGGGAAACACGGAGAGTTCAAGTTCCTGCCTCCACCTGGTTTTGCTCCATGTTGTGAAGCTCTTCTTCCAAAAAACAAGTTAAAGGTGGAACCATTCCCAATGTATATTTTGGACAATGAAGACGGGAAGCAGCTCATTGGCCCGACTGAATTTTGTGAACCCGTTATTTTTATTCCAAACCCAGTTGACATCAGTAAGGTAATTAGTTTGATCAAATAAAAAGTAAATACTTGCACATAAGCATTCTAACCTAAGTATATACTAAACCCCTAGACTATACTGCCCCTTCAACTTGAAAACATCAGAAGAAAAATGGCAGAACATTTCCATGAACTTTGGGTCTTGGACCAGATTGAACGTGGATGGACATCTGGAACTGTACGCTTATCTTAAATTACTGTACACAATATTTAATCAGTTTACTGTAATATTCTTTATTTCATAGGTAAAAGATGAGGAGAAAAAGACTGATCCTTGTCTGGTTCAGTTTTGTAATCTCACAGAACTGGAACAAAACCAAATAATTCAAATGGCAGAGGATACCTTGAAGTGAGCACTCTCCAGAATGTAACGTATTGTGTCATAAATCCATGTATGCATAGTCAAAGGTCACATCTCCCCTGAAAATGAGATTCCAGATTTTCAAACTTCAAACTTTTCTCTTAAAGGGTCTTACTCGCCTCCCTGGAGATGTTATTGCTTTGCCTGGAATATTCTACTGTATGGTATTAAACTTGCAATGTGTGCTTTTATTGCTAAAATACCTTGAAAATGCACATCCTTCTTCATAGAAATAGATCAGTTTAAGAAGGCAAACCAATAACATCTCCATGGAGACAAGCAGGCTACAGACCATGCACTTTAAATAAAATTTTGCTTTTTTACTTTTCTTTATTTTCATGAAGAACTATCCTTGCCCTTGGTTTTCATATTGGATTGTCTGATGAGAAGGCTGAGGAAAGACTAAAATACATTTCTTTGTCATCCCAGTGAGTAATACCTAGTGTTTTTTACCTCAGAAATGACAAAACACATCATGAATATATTTAAAACCAACTAACACATAAAACTATATTCACTTTTTTTCCAGATTTGAATTGCCAAGTGGTTACATACCTGCTCCTTTAGACCTGAGTGGTGTTTTACTCAGTCCAACTCTTGAAAAGTTGGTGGATTTTTTGGCTGAAAATGAGCACAATGTTTGGGCCAAAGAACACATCAAGCAAGGGTGGACCTATGGAGCTCAACAGGTAGTTATGCCAGTAGTAAATTCAGTATGATCAAAATATACATGAATCAATAAAAACATTTAAATAAAAGATTCATTGTGTGACTGTAAATACATTTTGCCTGAAGTAAGTCAAAGATTTAAAACAAGCTACTTACTTGTATGTAGGATGTGAAAGCCAAGCGAAGCCCGTACCTTGTGCCCTACAACCAGCTTGATCAAAGACGAAGAAGAGTGGGGAGGGAGGGGGTCAGAGATGCCGTCAGTACCCTGCTGGTTTATGGATACAGCCTGGAGTCCTTTAAGAAGGAATGGGGTGTGTGTATTTCTCGTTTTTATTACTTTTATTATATAAGAGTCCTCTAACTCTTTTGCTTTATGTTGAATTTGAATTTCACTCTTTTTTTGGACAGATGAAATAGTCTTTAAGGACATGTGAATGCAAATCACAATCTAATATGTTTTGTTTTTGCAGTTTCATTATCAACTCCATGTCTTGTTTCTACTGAGAAGTACCGGGTGTTCAGACCAGATAAGTCATATGCTGTGACTGAGGGGAAGTGGTACTTTGAATTTGAAATACTGACGGCTGGAAATATGAGAGTGGGCTGGGCCAGGCCTGGCTGTGCTCCAGACAGAGAACTTGGCTCAGATGACCAGGCTTTTGTGTTCAGTGGAGTCGAGGTATGCTGTACTCAGATTTTATGATGTAATTAATATAATCTTACTATTAAATGTAGTAGGACTCAGCATTTAAAACAAACTCATGGATTGAAAATGATTATAGTTTAAAGAAAGCATTGATCAATTTATTGTTTTATTAGTTGGTGCTAAGTTGTGTTTCTTTTCTGAATAGGCCCAGTGGTACCACCAGGGTGGAGTAGCACTTGGGACATTACCTTGGCAGAAAGGTGATGTGGTGGGCTGCATGTTGGACTTATCTGAACGCACTATAAAAGTCGCTCTAAATGGAGATCTACTGTTTAACCGAAAGGGTTCTGAGCTGCTTTCCAAAGACTTTCCCATCAATGATGGTTTGTTTATTAGCTATTTACTTTGTCTGTGTACATGCTTTGTGTTTTTACCATCCATGGTCATCATTATTTCTGTTCATTAATGACCTTGAATGCACCATGAGAAATCAGGTGTTCCATAAGTCATTCCTATTTTACAGCGCTTGGTTATTGCTGGTTATATTTTAAGTGTATAACAGTACTCATTTTATTTAATTTTGTTCTTTTGTATTCATTTTAGGCCTTTTACCTGTTGTTGATCTTGGAGTGAACCAGATGGGAAAGCTTAACTTGGGTTCTGAGCCGGACTCTTTGCAGTATTTTTCTGTGTGTGGCTTGCAGGAGGGTTACAAGCCATTTGCTGTTGACATGGCCAGAGATCCTTCTTTATGGTTAACTTGGTGGCAGCCTCAGTTTGCTTCTATAAAACCTGACAACCCAAATTTAGTAGTAAGTTTGTTATACTGTAATGGATGTCTTCAAGTAATTTCCTTTGTGGATCAGTAAAGTTTGTCGATGAATGTCGATGATTGAATGGATAAACAAAATACCATATAAAATGTCCAGTATTATTACTATGGATAATTATTTTGTAGATCAGAAGAATGAGTAGCTTGAAGGATTCTGTGCCGAGTTTAAGAGTCTCTCAGCGCTCATATTCCCATCAGAGTGGCACCAAGGAGATGTGTTTTTATCGTCTAAACATGTCCGTTGAATGTGCCATGATCCTCAGCAGCCCAGTTCGAACAATACCTCCTGTAGCCCCCAGCTCCTTATCACCAGGTACTTGTGTAATGAAATTAATATTTTACACAGTTAGCATCAAAATGAATTTTGACTTATAAAAATGCACAACTGCATTTTTATGTCATAATAATAATAAACATTTATGAACGGATGGTTGCTATTTAGTGTACTATGTTCCTTGTGATGTGCTACACATAATTTCTCTCTTATCTGCAGCAAGAAAAGAGCAGGAGGAGGTGGATTCTGACTTTGAAGTGCTGATGAAATCAGCTCACAATTTTACTGGTTCAAGAGATGAGCTCAATCACCACAAGGATCACAGCCAAGACAAAACATCAAAGCTGAAACAAAAGTTCTTATCAATTATACCTGCTTTATAGAATACAACATGTACTGTAATACACTTTGTAAACTAACCATGGTGCATTTTCTGTGAAGGTTCATGCTGAAGAGGACTAAACCAGGTTTAGTCAGCAGTAATTCATCACCAAGGCTTTTAGAGGATGTGTTAGCTGACAAAGACAACATGAATCATCTTGTCCAGACCTCTAAAGTAAACCCTAAACATCAATGTTTTATGATAAACTGAATACTGAAAACACTATAACATAAATAAGACAACTGTTTTTCTTTTAGTATTACTATTCAGTACGGGTTCTTCCAGGCCAAGCACCCTCCAATGTGTGGGTTGGCTGGGTCACAGCTGACTTTCATCAAAGTAGCACAGTGTTCGATATTGACAAGGTTCACACTGTTACTGTAACTCTTGGTGATGATACTGGGAAGGTCCAGGAAAGGTATTGTGTACAATCTTATTATACACGGCACATTATTCTAAATGGCAGTGTTTACTTCTCACATATCTGCATTTTTTCCCAGTGCCAAGCGCTGTAACTGTTACATGGTTTGTGCTGGAGAGGCCACTGGTCTGTCTCAAAGTCGCAGAAGCACAGGTTTGGAAATCGGCTGTTTAGTTGATACAGCCTCTGGGCTTCTCACATTTACCTCCAGTGGAGTTGAAATGACAACATTCTATCAAGTAGGCCACAAAATATTCATCAGAATTGTTTTTCTAAATTGTTCTTCATCTGAATAAACTTTGACAAAATGTAATCAGGTAGAAGCAAGTACAAAGCTATTCCCTGCTGTATTTGTCAAGCCAACAACAAACAACATGTTTCAGTTTGAACTGGGTAGTATTAAGGTAAAGGCCTGTGTATATCAGTATATAAATAGATAATCATAAAATTATACTTAAGTATTTTACACTAAACAATTCTTATACACTTTTCAGAACGTTATGCCCCTATCAGCTGGTTTGTTTCGCAGCCTCACGAGGGACACAACTCCTCAATGCCCTGATAGGTTACAAGTCCAACATCTTTGTCAAGTTACCTGGTCCCGTGTTCCTGACAATACACTGAAAGTGCTGGTAGATCTGAAAGAAAACTGCCATGGTTGGGTAGTACAATGCACAGAGTCCAGCCAAATCATGTCAATTCAGATCCCAGATGAAAACAGGTGAGATGTTTAGAAATATATATCATTTACATTGTTTGTGAATTTATACCAGATAACAAGCAAAATCACCTGTTCTAATTCATTCATATGGCGCACACAGGTGCATTGACATTTTGGAGCTGACTGAATATGATGAGCTGCTGATATTTCACTACCACACCATGCTCCTCTACTCCTCTCTGTGTGCTCTGGGGAACACCAGAATTTGCCATGCCCTTTGTAGCCAAGTGGACCAGTTCCAGATGTTTTATGCCCTACAGAATTCCAGTCTCCCAGGACTTCTGCGCTCAGCTTTTTACCAGTTGCTTATTCAGGTAATTGAATGATAAAGAGAGAATAGTATTAATATATATATATTGTAAAAATAAATAATACTCTGTCTAACTTTTAGGTTCATCTTAGTTGCCACAGCTCTGCATGTCTAATGATGAAACAGGAATATATTGTTCCTATGATGGACCTGCCCTGTGCTACCTCTCTTAATCCCAACACTGTGAATGGCAGCTATATTCCAAGCACACTGGCTTCTACACTTAAACCACACATGTGTTTTTCTACTCCTGTCTTTGTGAGGGCTTGTGAGGAAAGAAGTGCTGAAAGCGAAGCAGGAAAAGTTTGTGTTGACTCCCCTGAAATCCCTTTAGAGCGACTAAAGAATCTTACTGTGGAAATGCTCACTGCAGCTGTGAGGGCTGTTGATCAGGGTCTGAGAGATCCTGCAGGGGGCAGCGTGGAGCTGCTGCTGGTTCCTCTGATTCGACTGTTTTACACTGAGCTTGTGATGGGAGTATTTGAGGATGCCGACTTGAAGCAAGTTCTCATTCTATTTTTACCGCAAGCCTTTTCTGATGAAGAGGAACTCCCAAACCAAAAAGATAACAACGAACAGTTTTTGGAAAATGATCAAAATAGTTTTTATAATTTAGGGTTGCTTCACATGACACTCCCAGAAGCTGTTAAATTTGAGGTAGACCAGTTATTTACTGTTATTAACATATGTTTATCATGAATAACTGAAGTCATTTTCTTTTTCAGCTTTGTCAGGTCCTGTCTTTCCTGTGTGACTGTCAAGTGCGACACAGGGTTGAAGCAGTAGTTGCTTTTTCAAGCACTTTTGTCGAGCAGCTTCAAGAAAACCAAAGATTTCGATATAATGAAGTTATGCAGGCCCTCAACATGTCTGCTGCTCTCACTGCTCGCAAAACAAAGGAATTCCGATCCCCTCCACAAGAACAGGTAAATAGACAAAAATAAACATGACATTTTATTATTAATATATTTATTCATTTTGTTATTTTGTACTGTAAAATGTGTCCTTCTTTTCAGATAAACATGCTGATAGACTTTAAAGAGACAGATAAGAAATGCGAGGATTGTCCATGTCCAGAAGAAGTTCAGAAGCTTCTGAAAGAATTCCACTATCTACTAAAGCAGCACTGTGGTTAGAACCTACATTAATTTACATTTCAGGAAAAGAAAGTAATGTCTGAACATGTGATATGTTGCAGACCCTAAATTAGACAGAGGCTTTGAAGATGAGGACAATGAGGAGATGTCTATAAAAGATCAACTTAGTGGTTTGATATTTCAAGCCTGTGCAGTGAGAAAGTTGTCTATAGATGAAAAGCATTGTAATGCCACTGTCCAAAGCCCCAGTAAGCCCCCAGAGTATTTTTAATTGCATTGTCAAAGAAATACATTTAGCAAATATTATTTTAATATTAATATTTTGTGTAGTGTCCTTTGTCGAGCTCATCTCCAAGACAATGATGATTTGGGCATCGGAAGCTAAAATAGATGACCCTGGTTTGGTGAAGGCCATTTTCTCCTTGTTGCATCGACAGTATCAAGGTCTCTGTGGCCAAATGGGAGAAGCCCTTTATAAAGCTTACACAATAAGCCAAGCATCAACGGAGGACACCAGAGCCCTTCTCACCTCTCTGTGCCAAATACGCTCTCTGCTTAGAGTGCGTATGGGCAAGCAGGAGGAGAAACTGATGACTGATAAACTGGGGTAGGTTATGAGGATATATTTAGTAATGATATGTTTGCTATTTATTTCATAATGTTTACTTCATTATTTTTAATTCCACATGTCACAGAGAGATCATAAACAACAAAGTTTTCTACCAGCATCCAAATTTGATGAGAGCTTTGGGAATGCATGAAACTGTAATGGAGGTGATGGTAAATGTTTTGGGAGAAGGCAGAACAAATGTAAGATATCATTGTAAGATGTATATGTTCTCTGTGTAAAAACATGTATTATAGCCTAAAACTTAATACATTTATAAAGATATTATGGGCCTGTGTGTGCTTCTCAATAGGAGATCATGTTTCCAAAAATGGTGGCTAGCTGTTGTCGTTTCCTCTGCTATTTTTGTCGCATCAGTCGCCAGAATCAAGGAGCGCTGTTCGACCACCTGAGCTACCTGCTGGAACACAGTCGGGTTGGACTGGGTAAGTGGGGTGGGGAAGACTTTGTACCCACATAACAAAGATGTACATCTACTGATCAGACAGACTTGATTGGCACTTTCCCAAGCCAGTTCATTTATATTACACATTTCATAAAAAGACAGTTTCCAAAGAGCTGCACAAATATGTAGTAATAACAGAAATATAAATATAATAATAAAATAAAAACTCAAATTTAATGATACTAGACTTAAAACAATAAAACCAGTAATATCAAATAAGAGCAAAACCATAAATCATATCACATTGTACTAAAAAATACTTGATGGAATATTTCCTGTTACTAAAAAATATGATTTTTTTATGATTTACCCCAGGGTAGCTGTGGCTACAGAATTGGGACGTGTCAGTGAAAAGCGCTATATAAATAAAAACTTACTTACAATAGTTAGTGGAGGACAACCTTATTTGTCACAATAAAATACACTTGTTTGTGTTCTTTTTGAGCTTCACCATCAATGCGAGGAGCCACTCCTTTAGATGTAGCAGCCGCCTCTGTAATGGACAACTATGAACTAGCATTATCATTACAAGAATGTGAACTACAAAAGGTAACCTTCTCCTCTGGATTTAAGTGTAGTTATGCTACATGTATAAATTTGGTAGATCATCAGTTTTCCATACTTCTACTTCTCTTGCGTTTAGGTGGTTAAATATCTTGCAGACTGTGGTGTCCAGAGTTGTCCAATGCTCGTTGCTAACGGCTACCCTGACATTGCATGGAACCCTGTGGAGGGCGAGCGATACTTGGATTTTCTACGTTTTACTGTATTTTGTAATGGTAGCTATCTAATGTGTTCTTATTGAGTTGAATATGTTTGGGGTTTTGTTTGAAAATGACACTTTAATTTTCAGTTAAATACACCTTCTATTCAAATGTATTGAAATCAAGTGATGATTGTTAAATGTTGAACAGGTGAAAGTGTGGAGGAAAACGCATATATCATCTTAAAGCTGCTCATTCACCAGCCTGAATGCTTTGGGCCTGCTCTCCGTGGTGAAGGGGGACAGGGGCTTCTCTCAGCCATGGAGGAAGCCATCAGGGTCTCTCAAGACGTGTCTATGGATGGACCTTATGCAGCCAACCAGTCTAGCAAGAAATTGTGAGTTTGTTGTGAAGAAAAAATATACATGTGCATTATTTATTTATTTTATTTATTTATTTCATGTAAAGGGCTGGAGGAGGGTTTGTCATCTGCTTGTTTCTAAGGAGATGTTATTGCTCTGCTTTGAATGTTGGAATGTTCCACAGTATAACATTAAACAGCAGGATTATCTCTCCACAGATCCGACCTGTAACTTGGTCTGGTTTGGTCTCAATGAGGATAGAAAGGTTTAATACAATACTCATTGTATTAAACATTACATAAACATTTCAGATGATCTCCATGAAGAAAAGCATTTGACAGACACTCCACCAGAAAAGTTGCACCTTTAATTTGACATGCTAATTGATTACTTTTTTCCATCTTTCTTTGACAGTTATATTCAGGACTTGGAGGATGACCTCATTCACATGGGACATGCTATAATGACCTTCTACTCATCCCTTATAGACCTCCTGGGCCGATGTGCTCCTGAGATCCATGCAAGTGTTCATATTTGCAAAAATTCCACTAGACATGTATATATGATAATAGTTAAATGTGCTCGATCTGTTTTTAGCTGATTCAAGCTGGAAAAGGAGAGGCCATTCGTATCCGGGCCATATTAAGATCACTCATTCCAGTTCAGGATCTTGAGGGAGTCATTAGTTTGCCGTTTCAAATGCCTTCAATATCTAAAGGTTCACTTTTGTCACAGAAAATGTAAACCAAAGCTATGTGTTACTGGGTTTTTACATTTTTATTTTGTTTTCAGATGGCGAAGTGGAAGAGCCTGACTTGTCGGCAGTATTCTGTCCAGATCACAAGGCCTCCATGGTTCTGTTCGTGGACCGGGTTTATGGCATTGAGACTCAGGTTTTTCTCCTGCACTTACTAGAGTTTGGGTTTTTGCCTGATCTGCAAGCTGCTGTTTCACTTGACACTGTGAGTGATACACAGTATTTATTCTGAAGTTATTTTGTATTTGTCTTCATAAATCACCGCTGTTGTTTATATTTTTCACAGAATGACTTTGGATCCACTGACATGGCCCTGGCACTAAATAGATACATAGCCTCTGCCATGCTTCCTATGCTTACCAAATGCTCAGCTCTTCTATGTGATTCGGAGGAACATGCTGCACTCCTAAACTCCTTTATTCTAGCTGTGTACAGCTTTTCCAAGGCTGCAAGCTTGACCAAAGCTCAGAGAGACACTACTGAACAATGTTTGTTGTCAATATGCAGGTAATTAATTTTAAATAATTTTCCACACAGTTTTTAAGCATTAACATTTACTGACATGTCAAAGCGAACAGGAAAGTAGTTCAAGTCCATGTACTTTTGTACTTTTGTTTGCTTATAGTAAGCTCACACCAGTTCTAATGCAGCCACTTCTGCAGCAACTCATAATTGACATTGGTCATCTCTCAGAACACAGCAAACTAGAGCTGAAGGTGGAGTGTTTATTAATTTATTTATACAATTGCCATCAAGCAAACATTTAAATTGTAGTTTTTATTGTTGTGCTAGTTGCTGACTGGACACTACGAGCAGCAGTGGAAATATTACTTACATACACGTGGATTGGACAAAGACTTGTCTTCTGAGGAGGAGGGACACATGTCCAGAAAGTTGTTCTGGACTGTTTTTAATGTCTTGGAGAAAATGGTAACACAACTGAGTTAACCTGACTAAATCTATGGCTTTATTTTGGTAATGGTGGTTTTGTATGTTATGCCCTCAATTTTCCTCTTTGCAGTCTTATGAACCACAGTTATATAAGCTTGGCGCTCAGTGCCTTACAACAGTTGCTAGGAGCTTGCCTCCAGACTATATGAATCCCAGTTACCTGATAGACGGAAAAGCCACAATGGACACAGATGAAAACTTTGACCCCCAGCCTCTAGATACCTCAAAGTAAGATGCTGGCACTCCTCAAAAGTAGTGCAACATACAGTATTATGCTGTTTATCTAAAAGGCTTAAACCAGGACAGTTGCCTCAAGCTCTTGTTGAACATTGTGCTTTCTGCTCCAGTGTATCTGTGCCAGAGCGCCTGGAGTCTGTTCTCAATAAGTTTGCAGAACATTCACATGAGAAGTGGTCTCTAGAGATGGTAACATTTATTGTTTTCATTATTGATTATTGATGATTATTAATTTTGACGCTTATTTCCTAAATGTATATGATACGTTAATAGTTTACAGCAGGCTGGGTGCATGGGGAGCAGTTGTGTGAAAATACCAAAGTTCATCCTCTTCTGAAACCATATAGAACTCTAGCTGAAAAGGTACGACCACAAACCACAGGTGCCAAATGTATGTTCAAAATTGTCTGGACTAATATTAATGTTATTCCAGGATAAAGAAGCATATCGGTGCTCAATAAAGGAAACACTAAAGGTGATGTTGGCTTTTGGCTGGACTATAGACAGAACTAAAGGAGGAGATGTATTTGGAAAGCGAACATGCACTCGTAGGATTTCTCAATCTCAGGTATTTTTAATACTTGAGGATATTTGCTTAGGTCTACTTAGCTAGCATCATTGTGATCTGTGTGTTATTATGCAAAATTGACTTCTGTGAGCTTTAAGCAGTGTTAGAATGTTGAAAGTAGAATGTACCTCCTCAAAAACATTCCTGGAGTATTGTTTTGTTTCATTCACAAGTGTTTGAGTAACCCTTTATTATAAATATGTCTACATTTCCAGAGCTCAAAATGCTCTGTTCCACCTGTGATGACATGAGGCAGTAGTTTTCAGGTTAACAACTACGTTCTATCTTTAGTTCAGTAGAGATTGTCACTTCCAGGGCTGAAATTATTCAAATTAATCTAGTGATGTATGGAGGGGTGTATGGAGTTAAAAAACACAGTGGAGCATTTCCTGTATTACCACATGACAGAATATTTTCTGTGTGAGAACTCATCCTAAATATGCAGAATTTGTGAGTGAATTATGTGTGAATAAAACAAAACACAATTCATGGTATGTTTTTGATGAGTAAACAACATTATTACTACACTATAATAATATGAGCTCTTTAATAAACCACATTTCTTGCTTTTTCTCTGTTGTGTGAAAATATAGCTTTCTATTTGTCTATTGTATGTTTTATTTCACTGTTCAGCACTTTGGTAAGCTTTGGCTGTTTTAAATGTGCTATACCAATAAATTTGATTTGATTTATTTCTATTTGTTTTAGTTGTCCTTTGAAGGTGCATCAACGTTTAGCCCAAAGCCCATGGATATGAGCAGCATCACCTTGTCTTGGGATCAGTGCGTAAGTTATTTGTTGCATTTATTCTTAACACAAAACAACTGCACAAAGAATATTTATCCTTAAAAATGTCTTATTTACTGTAAAGGCAATGGCAGAACAACTGTCAGAAAACAACTACAACGTCTGGGCCAAGAAAAAGAAATTGCAGTTTCAAGGAAAAGGTATAACCCGAGTCTCTATATAGTCTTTATTTTGGCAGCAGGTTTTATTATTGATTATTTATTTATTTATTTACTGAAGGAGGCCGCTCTACACTTGTCCCGTACAATATGTTGTCTATCAAAGAGAAGACTCGATTCAGAGAAAGAGCTCAGGATGTCCTTAAGTTCTTACTGTTAAATGGTTACACAGTATGGAGGTTAATTTCATTGTATTTTATAATGTTTTATGCATTACAAAATAATAAATGTCTTTATTTTATTTATTTTATATCTTTATTTTATAGAGAGAAAAGGACAACAGACACACATTTTCCAGCTACAGCCAATTGTTTCGGCTTCTCTCTTCTTCAGCATTTTGTTTATCTCATTGATGTTGCTCAAGAGAATATTTTGGAGCTGGGTAATATTGCATTTAATTATATTTAATATTAGTTTTCATTGTGATTGAGTAGCTGGTTAATTGTTTGTACTTCACATTATTTTCTTATTCTTTTCTTTTCAGAGGTAATGCACGTCAGAGGACACATGGCTAAGGGAGACAAAGCCTCACATCTCCAGACAATACATTTTTTCCCCAAGGTTAGCTTTTCTATATTGTATTCTGTTTACAGATAATGAATTAATTGTGCTTATTTATTTGAATAATATCATCCTTTTACCATCATCATGCACATTTTTAAACCATTCTTGTGAGAATTTGGTAATGTATTACAGTATATTGAATATATGTATTGTATTATAATATAAACTTACACAAATGTGCCATTCTGAAAGGTGCAATTATTAAACTTCCCACGGAGTTATTCATCCATAAAGATAATTAACTTCCCATCCTTTGTGTAGGAATCTCATAATATTAACTGTCAAAAGCATTTAAGGATATATTTTTTATCAGAATGAGTGAGTTTTTTTCTTTTTAACAGGTTGTTCTCCCTCTTCTTGAAGAATATCTGAGAGATCATCATTTGTACTTCATCTCAAGCTCTTTCTGCTCTAACACTAATGATTATGCATCAACAAAAGAAAAAGAGATAGTTGTGAGGTATGAATCCAAACTAATTAAAGAATAATTCACAATAAAAAATGTGCTCTCAGTTATGTTTAATAGAATTTTTTTCAGTGCATAATTTGTTTGTGTTTGACACAGCCTTTTCTGCAAGCTTGCTGCCCTAATAAGACACAGAATCACACTTTTTGGTAATTGGGTAATTTGGTCATTCTTTTATTGGGTTTCGTATTCTCTCTTTATTTCTTTTCAATTATATTTTTCCAGGAAATGAAGCTTTGTCATTTACCAGCTGCCTCCAAGTGTTAGCCCAGTCTCTGGATGTGAGGTAGATGGCATTACAGTCACATATGGATACATGGATACAATGTTAAATGTGCAGTATTGTTACTTGAATCTGTCAGAGAGTGAGATTACAACAGCTATACATGATCTTCTACTTCACTTTTAAATTTGACTTGATAGACAGATGATAATTTACTGTTTTTGTTTTGTACTTACAATGTTGTTTGCCATAGGACACTGTTGCATGGAGCCAAAGATTTTATCTATGAATCTCTGCATTCATTTTTGGATGCAGCAGCAGCAGACCTGGAGATGACAGTGGAAAACCTGCATGTGGCCTTGGCTCCTCTCTCTCAGAACAGGAGTCAGTCGGCCAGAGGAGTGGTGGGGATTCTCAGCCACACGTCCTCAGTGCTGTTACCTGCTCTCACTTCTCTCTTTAAGCATCTTGGCAACAGTAACATTGGCTCTGATATTTTAGGTAAGCCACTTTACACACTGAGTATTTATAGAAAAAATGCATAAATATACAGTATGTTCAAACATCTAGACCAAGTGCTAGGGTGTCCTCATTTTCCCTGTCATTGGAATTAATAGGATGTAATAGTGTTACTGGCTATTGTTCAATATATTCCCCTGACTGTTTACAAATCCCTGTTTTTGCAGTGGGGAGTATCCAGGTGTCCTGTTACAGGATTCTCAACTCTCTTTACTCTCTTGGTACCAACAGCAGCGTTCAGAAAGAGGGGTACTTTCTTTATATTTTATAAAGGAATCTGAAATAGAAGGGGATCCTACTCGATTTGTATACTTTCAATGTAAATTTTCATTTAGGCCACAATCAGCAGCTGGTATGTGCCTTGCTGCCCTCTCCCAAGCCTTCCCTGTTTCGTTTCTTGAGCCAGAATTAAACCAAAACAATCCATTTTCTATCTACACAACCATGAGTGTAACTGAAATACAAGGTATGCAAATGAACTCAGTAAACCCATACAATACTATTTATCCTAAACTGCATTCTAATGTGATCGTCCTTTGTCAGAGCTGGGGCTGCCTGAGCAAGTGGCAGGGGCGTGTCCTCACTTACCTTCTTTGGGGCAGGCACTGGGAGAGGTGCGGAAGGTGGTGAAGTCGGGAGCAGCTGCCCACCAGGCTCACTACATCCATGTGACAGAGGTGCTCCTGCCCATGTTATGCAGCTACATGTCTCACTGGAGCCAACCACACATGTCCGACTTCTCCTCTGTCACTCCTGCACTCGTTAGTGACCTGCTCGGCCACATCCTTTGCATCATCCACAACCATGTGGGGGACATTAGGGGTGACTGGATTAAACAACTGGCAGGTACTGATGGTGATTTTTACTGCCTTCTTCAATAGCTGATGGAAAGTGATTTTACTACAACAAGTTGTAATTATGTTTCAGTTTTTTCCCAGCCAATCATATGCCAAGCTAGTGCACAACTTTTAAAAATCAATTTTGTTCCACTGATGGACAAGTTACGTAAAAAAGCAGAAGCTCTTCTTCTTGAGGAGGAGAAGATCAAATCAAAAGACAATGGACTTTGTGAAGACGAACTCCAGATTCAAGAGAAATTCAGTGTGCTTGTACAGGACCTTTATTCTTTCTATCCCATACTGATCCCATATGTGGACTCTCATCGGTAAGACATGAAACTAAATGTTGTATTACTCAAGATGTGACTGACATGCTTCAAAATTCACACTTACTGTGTACAAATTTGTATAAATAGAAAATGCCTCCTCTTTTTACCACAGAGCCAGCTGGCTGACAGAACTGAATCCTGATGCTGAGCAGCTGTTCAGCATGGTGGCAGAGGTCTTTATATTCTGGGCCAAATCTCATGTATGGATGAATTATAATGATGTCCCCATTTACTTTACTGGCTCTTCATTATATGTGACAATATGCATTGTGTAAATTAGAATTTCAAATGGGAAGAACAAAACTATGTTGTCCAAAATGAAATCAACAATTTGGGATTTTTGGTACAGAACATGTCCAAGGTGAGATAAACAAACCCAGTGCATATTGTTACTGTTTAATATACCTTCATTAATATATAGTTTGACCACGAGAACAAGAGGGCAAAGCGAAAGGGTGATCGTTATTGCGCACAAACGTCCCTCATCGTGGCCTCTGTGAAGAGACTGCTCCCTATTGGCCTCAACGTCTGTTTTTCAAATGACCATGACCTTATTAATCTGGCAAAGAATGACTTCTCACTGGTAGGTCAGATTTAATGGCACGCTATTTAATACTACAAAGTTTTGACTTAACTAAAGTATGGGATTTGGATTCCACTTTTGACAGAAGAACTCCAAGGATGAGATTCACAAACATATTTTTCAGTGCTTGTCAGGCCAGAAGAGGAAGGTAAATATAAATACTTGAAAAACAATTTAACAAGTATTTATTTATGTAACCAAGATACTTACTTGCCACTAATTATTAACTATTTTTGTATTTACAGTCCCCAGAGTTTCCAGTGGAAGAGCCCCTTTGCTCAGAAAGTCCAAACACACAGGGGTCTGCATTAGATCTACAAAGAGACTCACACAGAATTGTTAGAGTAGCTCAAGTTCTTTATCATTTGGACCAGGTAAGACAATACATTAGACAGTGACATGCTGTGTCATATTGTTGAATACTAAATATGTTTATAATAGCAATAAGATTAATGTATCGAGACTTTTGGTAATGCTCAAAATTTTTGGATTGAATCCAGGTTGAAAATCCTCTGCGAACCAGAAAATCTACATGGATTAAGGTCTTGTCTAAACAAAGAAAGCGAGCTGTGGTGGCCTGCCTAAGAATGATTCCACTGTACAATTTACCAAGGTATTATGAGATGACAAAACATATGAGTCTGACCTGTTTTTAAAGGTGCACTGTGGAATAGAAGCGATTCTCCACAGATCTGAATTGTAATGTAGTGTAGTGCTGTAACCTGCCTGTCTCCCCTGTGATATATAGGTTTAATCTATACTGTGGAACATTCTAGACAAAGCAATAACATTTCCATGGAGACAAGCTTGTAGTGGACTCTTGATGAGAAATGATACTCAGTGCACCTTTAAGCAGTAAATGCCAACAAACTTAAATTTAATTTGAGCTAACATCTAATGTTCTCTAGGCACAAAGTTGTTAACCTGTTCCTTCAAGGATACAATAAGACTTGGGTTTTAACAGAGCACAACAGCAGTGAGGAGAGGCTTGTGGAAGATTTGGCAGTGAGTATAAAGCAGCAGTATTTTTAACAAAAAAAAATTAAATAATACTACAAAATAATACAAAACAATAAATATTCACCCCAAATATATAATATATGTTCCTGCTTTCACATATTAAACATTAAGTTGATAGTAATTATTGTGACAGGCCAACCTTTATAATGTAAGTAAGTGTATGGCAGGGGATGGTGACAATGCTGGAGTCCGACAGGAGAGGAAATCACACTGAACACTGTGTCGCACCAGCTGACCCCCTGCAACAACTCATAACACTCTTCAGTCAAAGTGCCCAGACAGACAGGTGTGTATTTGGACAAGATTTGATTTTCATATTGTGTAACTTTTCTGGTTGAGGACCTGTCAAATTATTTTATCTATGGAGTGTTTTACAGTATGGTATTAAACCTTTCTATCTTTGTGGAGACCAAATCAGACCAAGTTACAGGTCAGTTCTGTGGAGAGACAACCCCGCTCACAGTCAGAATGCCTGTTTTTCTAGGTATTTTTGAGTTACAAAACCACCTGTAAATTAATAAATGTAAGATAGAGCTGTTTAATGTCATACTGTGGAACATTCCAGGCAGAACGATGGCATATCCATAGACACAAGCAGGTGATGGTCAAAAAGTTACATAGTGCACCTTTAACTGACATTTACATTTTACTAACTGTGGAGTAGTATAGCACTATAATAACATACTGTATATATTTTGTTTTGTGATTAACACAGAGATGACAGCCTTTGCAAGTCTTATTTTGCTATAATGGCTCAGGTAAAATAAAAAATAAAAAACACTTTCTTTGGTTATTATTGCATTATTCACCAACTACCTTTTGCACACACACACACCAGAGTTGTCAGACAGCACAGGATGATGATGGAGAGCAGTCAAGGCAAAGTTTTGAAGTAAGTAAATATGACTTCAACCTAATCGTATTAGTATTCAATGATATACTGCCTGCATAGTGCCTATATTTTGTTATAATTTTCCAAAAGTAATTTAATTTGCTTCTGGCAGGAAAAAGAGATGGAAAAGCAGAAATTACTTTATCAGCAGGCACAGTTGCATCACCGTGGTGCTTCAGAGATGGTCTTGCAAACCATCAGTGCAAGCAAAGGTAAAAGAAAGAACAGCCAAGACATTTCTATTGGTTTTAATATGTTTTTATATTATATTTAAAGGCCCTACTTACACAAAATGGATTCTGTATGGCTTTAAGCCATATTATAATGTTGTTATCTCCTCAAAAACATACCTGGAGCAGTGTTTTGTTTCATTTAAGTGTGAGTAATCCTGTATTATTAGTCTGTCTACATATCCATACCAAAATGCTCTTTTCCACCTTGTGATGTCATGAGTGTAAATTTTCAAGTTAACAGCTACAGTACCTTTTATTCCAAGGCTGAAATTACCTAAATTACTTTAGTGAAGGTGTATGTTAAAAGCACAGTGGAGCGCTTTTTGTGTTAGCACATGACATCACAAGGTGGGGTGTTTTCTATTTGAGAGAAGAACTCAGCCTAAATATGCAGGGTTTCTGTGTTAAACGCGTGAATGAAACAAAACATAACTCCAGATATTTTTGATCGATAGATATAGATCAGAAAATAGATAATATGTAATACTGGCCCTTTAAATATGTATAAATATAATGTATTTTTCTCATCAGGAGTTGGCTCTCTGATTGCCCTCACACTGAAGCTGGGAATTGCTCTACTTAATGGAGGAAATGCTGATGTACAACAGGTGCTATGCCTTAATCACACTTTCTAATTATAGCTTTAATATATTTCAATAAATATGTTCTATAAAAAATTCCAAATTATGATACATTAGTAGCTTTACACGCATTACATTCAGGCAGTAATCAGTAGAATCATTGCCTTTATATTCATTAGTCTGTTTTTGTTGAGCAGAGAATGCTTGAATATTTGAAAGCAAAAAAAGACGTTGATTTCTTCCAGAGTATGGCTCGACTCATGTGCACATGCAGGTTTGAAAATAAGTGAAATATTGCAATAGTTTGTGTGCTATTTTTGTCATTGTGTGAAAAAGTGTACTCAAATGTAATGTTACTTTTCTGTAATCCAGTGTTCTGGATCTGAATGCTTTTGAGAGGCAGAACAAGGCAGAAGGACTAAACATGGCGATGGACGAGCACTCAGGTACTCTTTCAAATTGAAATCATTTTTCAGCTTTTAGCCTTGTTATAATGGGGTCATCTCCTCAAAAACATGCAGAGTTGTATTTTTCTTTTATTCACACATGTTTGAGTAACCTTTTATTATTAGTCTGTCTACATCTCCAAAGCTCAAAATGCTCTGTTCCACCTTATGATGTCATGTAGTGGACTAGTGATAGTATTCAAGTTGACAGCTGCCTTTTACCTTTAGTTCAGTAGGGATAGGCAGTTCCATTTCTGAAATTATTCAAATGATTCTAGTGACAGTGTATGGAGTTTAAAAGCACAGTGGGGCACTTCCTGTGTTACCTCATGACATCACATTGTGGAACAGTGTTTCCCGTTTGAGAGAAGAAATCAGCCTAAATATGCACAGTTTGTGTGTTTAACATGTGTGAATAAAACAAGCACAACTCCAGATATGTTTGTAATGAGAAAATAACATTATAACATTGATCAGAAAATACCTTAATTGGGGCTCTTTAATTCTGAGAGGTAAAAACTGAATGGAGCAAATTAAAAAGGCTATAAGCACGAGGTTGAACAAATCTACAGTATATGAAATTAAGTTCTAAGTTAACTTTTTTCAATCTTATATCTGAAATTGTTGTTTTGTTACTCTTTTGTTGCCAGTGGGGATTGCAATACCTGACAATGAGCTGACCTGTGACCTCTTCCGTTTCCTCCAGCTGTTATGTGAAGGGCATAACTCAGGTATTTCATTGAAGTTAGTGAAAAGATTTTGTATCTACTGTACTTATTATACAAATATATTCAGATTTTCAGAATTACCTAAGAACACAGACAGGAAACAACACGACTGTCAACATCATTATATCAACTGTGGATTATTTACTGCGAGTACAGGTAAAGTCAATTTTTTTCTCAGTAATAAAGTAATAAGTTCCTCTGTGAAGGATAGAAGAGCATGGAAAAGAGCCATCCAACCTTAAATGAAAATTATGGAAGAATAATTAGAATAACAAACTTTTTTTTTTTTTTTTTTACAACAGGAGTCAATCAGTGACTTTTACTGGTACTATTCTGGAAAAGATGTGATTGATGTACAAGGCCAGTACAGCTTCTCACATGCAATAAAGGTGGCTAAGCAGGTCTTTAATACGCTCACTGAATACATACAGGTTAGACATGTTTTTAAATGATTAGCTCTGTTCTTTCAAAGTTTTGATGATTAACAACATGTGCTCACCTTCAGGGTCCATGCAGTAGCAACCAGCAGAGCCTGGCTCACAGTCGCCTCTGGGACGCTATTGTCGGTTTTCTTCATGTTTTTGCACACATGCAGATGAAGCTATCACAGGTAAGATGATGCAGTGTCATTATAGGTATAACAAAAAATTTGCATATAAAAATGTAAAAAATAACATTTTAAAACAGGATTCAAGGCAAATTGAACTTTTAAAAGAATTCATGGATTTACAAAAGGATATGGTTGTATTTTTGCTTTCAATGCTTGAAGGTAAGAGTTGTGTACAACCACAGGTGTGTTTTTGCACATTTAATAATAATAATAAATTTGACTTGTATAGCTCTTTTTTTTGACACTCACAGAAAACAAAGATTTTATCTTATTTGTATTGCTACAGGAAATGTGGTCAATGGAACAACTGGGAAGCAGATGGTTGATATGTTGGTGGAGTCATCCACCAGTGTGGAAATGATCCTCAAGTTCTTTGTCATGTTCCTCAAACTTAAAGACTTCACAACTTCAGCTGGATTCAGGGAACATGATCCTGAGAATAGGGGCTGCATCTCTAGGAAGGACTTTCAGAGAGCCATGGAAACCTGCAACCGCTTCTCTCATGAGGAAACCCAGTTTGTCCTCTCTTGTATCGAGACAGATGAGAATGAAATCCTTGATTATGAGATATTTGTGGATCGCTTCCACAACCAGCCGAAGACATTGGGTTCAGCATTTCTGTTCTCTTAACTAACTTGTCTGAGCACATGCCTTTTGATGCTAGACTTGGTGCATTTTTGGAGCTAGCAGAATGTGTCCTTGGATATTTTCAGCCATACTTAGGACGCATTGAGATTGTAGGCAGTGGAAAGCGCGTTGAACGTGTCTACTTTGAAATAAGTGAATCCAGCCGCTTACAGTGGGACAAACCTCAAGTGAAAGAGTCCAAAAGGCAGTTCATTTTTGATGTGGTCAATGAAAGTAGAGACAAAGAGAAAATGGAGATGTTTGTCAATTTCTGTGAAGACACCATCTTTGAAATGCAACTTGCATCAAATATTTCTTCTGAGGCTGAGGAGAGAAATTCTGGAAAAAATGTACCAGAAACTGAAGAAGAGTCCGTTGACAGTGACAGCTCATTTTTTGCTTTTCAGTGGGTGGTCCTGCTCTTGTCTTCATTGTCAGTCAAGAATCTCAGAATATTAATGAAAATGACCCCTACAGATATCTTCAAATCTATTGTCAATATTGTACACCACATTTTCTTAGCACTATGGCAGTGTTTGTATACTGCAGTCTTTAGTGTGTTGTACTTACTTTATGTGGTGTTCATTAGCGGTGGACTCATAGAAGCAGCCAAAACTATGAGTGTGTCTGAATTACTTGGTGGTATTGTGGAGCCAACTATTGATGAAGTTATGGATGTATCCGAGAATGTGGACAAACAATCTCATTTGGACCAAAGCTCTGTTCGGAACGAGCCGATGGAGACTGGACACGTGACCTGCTCTAGACCTGTGCATGTAGTGTCAGATATATTCGGATTACAGGTGAAGAAGGAAGGAGATCTGTACAGGCTTATGGCTCCAGAGGGCAACACCAGTGTTACTGATCTATTTACTTCATCCACACGAGGAACAGCCTCCAAGAAACGTCAAGTAATCCATGTAGTATTAGTAATTTGATATCTATAGTAAAACACAAGTGAACTATTTCTGTTTTTGTTATTTCTCTCAGCCAAAGAAACCTGAATATACAGATGTTTCTAAATCACCTGACTTTGAAAGGTATAGTAAACTTTGCAATATTAAAGGTGCACAATGCAACTTTTCTGGTGGAGAGTCTACTTTTTGCATGTCTCCAGGGAGATGTTAATTACTTTGCCTGGAATAACGTATGGCATTAGTCTTATCTCTGTCTCCACGGAGACGAGCAGGAGAAGCAATAAAAAAATTGCAATTGAATAATAGATATGTGTAATGCCATAACACTGAACATTCCTGTAAAGAAATAACATCTCCAATGAGCATATCCCTCACCAGAAAAGCTGCACACCTTTAAAACATTTCCAGCTATCTCTCTGTTGTTGTTATTATTATTCTAAATCCACAGAGTGAAGGAGGTTGCAAAGAAGGATTTGAATGTAGTGCCTCAACGCTGTTCCACTAAGACAGAGGAAGGAGTGAAGCAGCATTCTGAGCTGTGGGACACAATAAGCACTTACAACAAGAGTGTGCTGGTAATATGCACTACAAATGTCTCTGCTTATTTTAAAACTCAGGACAACTCCACTTCAGTCTACACAGTGTTTTTTTTTTTTTTTTTTTTTTCAGAATTACTTTGCACGGAATTATTACAATATCCGCCTTCTTGCTCTGTTCATTACCTTTGCAATAAACTTCATCCTTCTCTTCTATAAGGTAATTCACTTATGTAAATGTAATATAGATGTACGCTTCAGAGTAATATAAGTTCGATCTGTATTTTGCAGGTAACACCACTGCCTCGACCACATGATATCAACATAGAAGAGAAAGAGCTTGAACGTGACAATGCGGGGCTGGTTTATTTTGTGCTGGAGGAGAGCAGTGGCTACATGGAGCCCTCTCTCCATTTCCTGGCTTTGGCACATACATTCATCTCATTCTGTTGTATTATTGGATACTACTGCCTTAAGGTATTCACAAGGAACGACATACAGTACATTATAGAATAGTAAATAGGGAGATTCTGAACATGTTTTGGAGGTAGGAAAGTAAGAGATGAAATATTTAATTGCCAGGTGCCCTTGGTGATCTTCAAGCGTGAGAAAGAAGTGGCTCGCAGACTGGAGTTCGATGGGTTGTATGTGACAGAGCAGCCACCTGACGAGGACATCAAAGGACAGTGGGACAGGCTGGTCATTAACACGCCGTATGTTCAGACACACACACACACACACACACTGTAAATAATGCACAACATGTCTCCATACCACCACCATGTTTTTTGTTTTGTTTTTTTCAGATCATACCCAAGTAACTACTGGGATAAGTTTGTCAAGAGGAAGGTGAGGTTTAGACAATGCAGCTACAACTTGTTTTAATTTAAGTCTAGAAGTCTTCAGTGGAGTATAATATTACTTTTATTGATACTTTGCAACTGATGTCATCAATATTCCTTGCGGATGTGATGTTAACTGTAAGCACTGCTCTGCCTGAGGCTTTGTTAGAATTAATCTGAGCTTTATTTTGACACACTCTGACTTGTGTCTGAGATCTGAGTAATGACGTAGTTGGAACTACAACAGGTCAGCTGATTTGTGCTGTTAAACAAGACTCACACACATGAAATTACAGTCCCAAGCTAGCTAGCATTACCAGCGTTTTTTGAGTTAATCACACTCACCGTGTTTTGAAACTCCAACACCTAAACAGGACCATGAACGTCCATATTGATCTCAGGCTCCTGAAAATGTGTTATTTAAATCCATTTTGTGTTTTTTCTAGACTTTTTAGACAATCTTAAAACTTATTTGGCAGTGTTTGCTAATGTGTGCATTGTGTCTCTATGGCACAGGTGTCAAACATAAGGCCCGGGGGCCAGATCCGGCCCTCCAAGACCTTTAATGTGGCCCTCGGTTGATTTTCTACTAAAATATTTTAATTATATTTTCTATTAAAATCTTGTTAATTTTCTGCAGTGTTTATCACAGCAGCATCTCCAACGTCTCTGTACGTGGCCCCTCCCACCAGAGCAGCACAAATGAAGACTTGTCTCTTTCCAAACGCTCTTAAAGGATGATCGTTTTGACTGTTGACCGTGACACCCTCATCAACAAAATGTCAAACATGAGAAAAGTGGAGCTGAGTGCAGGATTTTCCAAGAAAAATTGACTTATTCCTATTTGCATACAAGTTCATGTTAAAACATTGTGTTGAAATTACATTTTTCTTAAAGTTTCAGGTTGTTCATAATATTATAATATTTTGTAAAAGAAAGAGTTCATCAATTTAAAAAGATTTCTGTAATAGATTTGTGTTTCTCTCTTTGGACTTATTGTTATTTTTGGGGTTTATATGCCATGAGTTTTCTGATCTGGCCCCTTTGGGATCAAAGTAAGTTGGATATGGCCCCCGGACCAAAATGAGTTTGACACCCCTGCTCTATGGTAACTGGTGAACATTCCGCTAATACACATGCATGTAGAACATCCCCAACATCTATAAGTCTATACTATCTTCAACGTGATGCAAAGTAACTAAGCAAATCTTCATTTACACAATGTGTTGTAGAAATCTGTCCATTGCTACAAGTAACTAATCTCACGTAAGGATGCACTATGTAACCTTTTATTGTGGTATGTCTGCTGCTTGATTTTCTCATCAATATATTATTGCTTTTCATGGAATATTCCACACACAATTACACAAAATTACAGCTGTTTTTATTGCAAAAAATGTATCATAATAATAATGATTTATTTTTAAATGCTCGATCTGATGGCATACTGTGGAACATCCCAGGCTAAACCATATCTCCATAAAGACAAGATTGTTTCAGATCCAACATAGTGCACCTTTAACTGAAGGTTTTATGTATTCCATTCTGTGCTGACACTACTTTTGACTTTTGGATTTTCTTAGGTAGTGGAAAAATATGGAGCGTTATATGGCTGTGAGAAGATCAGTGAACTTCTAGGACTGGACAAGGCTTCTTTAGACTTCAGCTCCCAAAGGAAAGAAAAGAAGCACAAAAGAGCAGCTTTGGGATCTTTGTGAGTTTTCCATACAACTGTAGCCTGATTTATTTGACTAATTTTATAAACAGCATCATATGAAATCTTGTAAAAAATCATTTTATATTATTTGTTAAAGATGCTCTGTAAATGTGTCTATGGTCATTTGTTTTCCCATTGTTGCTGACATATTTCCCCAGAAAAAGAGCACTAGAAAATGAAAGTGTACTTAAAGCAGGACAGTACGTTCTGTGTCCCACTCACGTAACTGTGGTTCTTTGAAAAACACATTGTTGCCACAGTCATATAATTTTTTTCTATCACCATTGGACTATTTGACCTGATTTTTTTTTTTTTTTTTTAAAGTTTGAGTATTGTATCTGTTTTTCAGATTTTCCTCCTTTGACATCATGTATCAAATTTGGAAACTTGGGGTCATTCTAACAGACAGAGTAAGCTATTTCATTTCTGTTTGACTCATTTTGTAGTATGCATTCAGCTTATACTTAGACTTAAACTAACTTTATTGATCCACAAGGGAAATAACTTGGACGCAGTAGCTCACATATCACATTATATTATAGTAACAAGGAGTAAACAAAAATGTAAATGGTAATAATAAATTCTAAATAAGTACCAAAGAAATAGCAAGAGACAGGTGTCAAATAAGAGATCATTATATAAATGTATATGTACAAGTAAAAATAATATAGAAAATAAGTAATAAAAATATCTCAGCTATATACAAGAGGTTATAAGAAAAACAGTGCAAGGATGATGTAATGATTGACAGGACATAGGGTTATCTATTATACATTAAGGTGAGTTGTTGCACAGTTGTAGGGAGTATTATCTCTTTCTATAATATGGTCATCGTGATTAAGATCAGTAACATTTCTAGCTTTTAAAATTACATTACATACATTTAAATGCATTGTTCACTGGAGATCTGATACAGTTGCACATGGACAGAATTTGAGGTGGTCATATCCTGTAGTGCTTCTTATCTAAAGTTCACATTTGTATTTCATCTGGTCCTCTCATCTAAATTACTTGTCTTCTTCTTCTTGCGTGTGTGTGTATGTGTATGTGTGCGTGCGTGTGTGTGCAGTCCTTTTTGTATCTGAGCTGGTACATGGTCATGTCTGTTCTGGGTCACTACAACAACTTCTTTTTTGCCGTTCACCTTTTGGACGTCGCTATGGGCTTTAAGACTCTCCGCACCATCCTCTCGTCTGTCACACACAATGGAAAGCAGGTGTGTCTGTTCATTACTGCATTCTATAGGACAGTATGTATGTCACGTTTTGATGATTCTCTACTTTCTACTTAATTTGGTGCTATAATACCTTGTTGTATTTAAAAATTATAGTTTTACGCCAGCTGAGAGGCAGTTTGTGAATAAAAGCTGAAAAATAAGTTGAAAATTACAGGAAGTGTAAAGTTTTATTTTAGAGATAAATAAAGTATTATCTATCCTATTGCTGGCATCACTCTGGAGAGAATTCTATCCAAAATGTATGCACAGTTTATACTTACAACACACATTTTTCTGATACTTCAAACATAATTTCATCAAAACAAAGGCTGTTTTCTTATGATTTTATTCATCAAATAATAATCTCTGTGTACATTAGAAGAGTTTTGGTCTACTCTGCGTCATGGTTGCTAGGTGACAGTTATGGAAAGTGTAAAAGTTTTAGTAAAATCTTAGATATGATTTTAACTGAGTTTTAGTTAATTGTGTAGCTAAAATTATTTGTTAATTGTTAAAATGCTAGGGTTTAATCATTTGTGAGTTTACATTGTACTTTGCCATGAAATATCCAAGAGGTAATCAATAGGGAAATCTGGCCTTTGCCCCCTATTTGGGAGTATGACCTCCTCACATTCTACAATCGGAAAACTGCCAATACTCAGTTAAAGCTCCTATGCAAGGCTGGACAACTCATTTTACTAAACCACATTTAAGATCATTATATTTAAGATTATGCTAAATATTTTGTTCCCCAGTTTTTTTTTAGGTTTCCAAGTTTAAATTCCAAATTGAAACTATTTTTCCCAACCAGGTAGTGGTTGAAAATCATGACATGACACTAGGGAATTATATAATTGTTACTTTTTTTCACAAATTATTTCTTAATTTGTGTAAAACTATAATTTATACTAATGGCAGTTTTTATCCCACCAATGTAGGTAAAAATGAGAGAATCATCAAAACCTGTCATATGTACTTTAAGCATCAAATAATGCTTTTCTGTTTGTTTTTCACATTCTTCATAAGCAGACTATGTTTCCATGTGCACTAAAATCTGATTAGTATCTGATTTTGTTATCAGATTATTGAAATGTCATGTAAACAGTTAACATCTGATGTGGGTAATCTGATTTTCCTGATTGCTCACATCTGTGCTGGTGTTGACACAGAACATTATGCAAAAAGAGCAGACTATTGTGACAAAGACAACGTGAGAAAATGTAAAATGTCTTCCAAATACAACCGTTACTTAAGAAATTAAATTAAACTAATTAAAGGGTCTATATTACATTATTTTCTGATCTATGTTATAATGTTGTTTCTTCCTCACAAACATGTTTCACACGTTTAACACACAAATACTATTTAGACTGAGTTATTTTCTCAAACTGAAAACACTCTGCTCACCCTTGTGATGTCATATGCTAATAGGAAGTGCTCCACTGTTTTTTTAATTCCTTACACCTTCACTTGAGTCATTTGGATGATTTCAGCCTTGGAATTGTCATTTTCTACTAGACAAAAGGCAGAAGATAGCTGTTAACTTCTAGTTACCAAGTGTAACAGAGCATTTTGATCTTTGGAGATGCAGACAGACTAATAATCCAGGATTACTGAAACATGTGTGAAACAAAACACAACTCTGAGTATGTTTTTGAGGAGATAACACATTATAACATATCAAAAAACCTCACAAAAGTCAGTTTTGCGTAATATAGGACCTTTAACTGACAGCAGCAGGTATTTTTGATCAGATTTCTTTTGTGCATGTAAACACACACCAAAAATCAGATTAGAATATTAGAATTATTAGGTTAGCTGATTCTTCTTGTAAATGTAAAATGTAAAATTATATACCCACTGTATTTGAATTTTCTGTGTTTTTCAGTTGGTCCTGACGGTGGGCCTGCTGGCAGTAGTGGTCTATCTCTACACTGTTGTGGCATTCAACTTTTTTAGGAAGTTTTACAACAAGAGTGAGGACGAGGAGCGTCAGGACATGAAGTGCAATGACATGCTACATGTAAGCTAACCGAGTCTCTGTTGTATCACTTTGTCGCTATGCTGCTTTCACCAGGTCTTTTCTTTGTTACATAAACATCAACACACCAAGTCTGGAAAGATTTTACAAGGATTCTTTGGGTGCCATCTTTTTCAGTAAAGTCCCCATTTACATTATTCACAGTTCACATCCACATTCTCCTGCCCAGTCTATAACACTCTGTTCTCTAGCGTCATTCAGGAACAGCAACAACATTGTATATCAACACATTTATTGGCAGTTATTGTAACTTTAGTTTTAACCTCTGCTCTACATTCTTTAATCCAAATGTTACACTCTCTATTCTAGCAGTCAGAAAAAAACTCTTACTTCACATTACCTGAATTCCCTCTGTTAAGCAGTACAAAGGGTTTTCTTTACAAAAATGATTTAAGGAAAAGGTATAAAGGTATTGTTTAAATATGAAGCATTACCCTAGCTGTCATTGAGTTCTGTGCTGTGTCTATTTCAGTGCTACATGTTCCACATGTATGTGGGGGTGCGGGCAGGAGGCGGGATTGGAGATGAGATTGAGGACCCGGCTGGAGATGAATTTGAGGTGGAGCGCATCATCTTTGACATCACCTTTTTCTTCTTTGTCATAGTTATTCTGCTCGCTATTATCCAGGGTGAGTCACTGCTCAGTCTGAGCAAATGCACATATTCATAAAGGTGAACCTCCACTTGAACTACACATTTTACATACAAAGTCTCAGCCAATGGAAGTCCAGTCTTTCTTGTGACAATGGTGTAACATCTTTTCAGGTTTAATAATTGATGCCTTTGGTGAACTTCGTGACCAACAGGAGCAAGTCAAAGAGGATATGGAGGTATATTCTGGTTAACATCATGCTTACTACATTTAATTGCCTAACAGGTAAAAATGGAGTTTAATCATAGTTGAGTGTTGTCGAAACCAGATGCCTTAACTTTATTTCACTACTCAGTTCAGTACTCACTACAGTAAACCTTTACAGTTGCCTTATTCCTACTGAGGTTTTAGAATACAGGTGTTGATTGGAATGCCGTGTCACATCTTTAACTGTGTAGACTGTGTGAGGCAGGAGTAGTAGTATAATTTTATAATATAAGGCATTTAGTTGGAAATATTGTATTAATATTTTGTAGGGCTATGAGCATGAGTATATATAAAGTAGTAAATCATGTGCCTGCTTTTTCTCCACAGACCAAGTGCTTCATTTGTGGAATTGGAAGTGAATACTTTGATACAATTCCTCATGGCTTTGAGACCCACACTCTACAAGATCATAATTTGGCCAACTATCTGTGAGTAGTTTTGTACTTAAAAATACCTATTTCTGTAGGCAAGTGGTGTATGTAATATGTGTATTGAGATTTAGATGAGAAAGTTGCTGGTAACACAGTAGACCCAGAACTCACCCGGGCTCTGGGGTGTATGAGTAATGCTTCTTCTAAAGGCAACAGTCTCTTTGTTGTTACATCAATAATCAGCACAGGCTTATCGAGCCTTACATTAGTATGGATACTATGAGATTTACTGGTATTCTCCTTGGTCCGATTGACTATTAACTGATGGTGAAAAAAACTTCTTTCTGTATTTGATGGCAGATTTTTCCTGAGGTACCTCATAAACAAGGATGAAACCGAGTACACGGGACAGGTATGAGCCTTGAGTTGTTTATAGGTCCTATATTACACAAAATTGACTCTTGTGAGCTGTAATGCATGTTATAATGTTGCTACCTCATTCAAAACATACGCAGAGCTGTGTTTTGTTTCATTCTCACATTTGAGGAATCCTGGTTTATTAGTATATCTGCATCCCCAAGCTCAAAATGCTCTGCTCTACCTTGTGATGTCATATAGTGATAGTCTTCAAGTAAAGTGCTTCCTTAAGTCAGTAGAGATTGGAAATTCCAGGGTTGAAATCATTCAAATAATTCTACTGAAGGTATGCAGAGTTTTAGAAGCAGTGGAGCACTTCCTGTACCACATGATTACCACATCAGTGTTTTCAGGTCTGAGAAAAGACCACTGCAGGACTTGTGTGTTAAACATGTGAATGTTTTTGATGAGGAAACATTATAACATAAATCAGTAAAATAGTGTAATATGGGCCCTTTAAATATGCTCAAAATATTTCTCAGTCAACAGATTATTCATTAACATCATTGTCTATTCTTGAGTTAGTGAGTTGTGTAATGCCACATACACAGTACACTCTTGGACTATTAAGGAGGGCAGTTTCACTTTACATGTCTGCTTTCAACTCTGCCAGGAATCCTATGTCTGGAAAATGTACCAGGAGCGGAGCTGGGAATTCTTTCCTGTGGGAGACTGTTTCCGTAAGCAATACGAGGATCAGCTGGGATGAAAGAAATCGGAGAGACCTTGAGATACTCGATAAGGTCCTCGAACATGAGTCAACACAAGTCGATTGATGGAGACGGTGAACTGTCTACACCACATACATATATTATTTATTAGATTTCATCAAACGGAATACATTACGGGATTTCACTTTTACTCAGAGATGCTATAACTGTTCCGTTATTTTTGTTGTACACCACGCTAGTTAGTTAAGTTATCTTATTTATTTATTTATCACATTTGTTTGGTTCACATTTTTATTGGACATATCTTACACACATTGTTTAGCTGTCTTATAGTGTATCTTCATCAAAAACATATCTGGAGTTGTGTTTTGTTTCATTTACATATTTAAAACACAAATCCTATATGTCTAGGCTGTCTATCCATCCATTTTCTTCCACTTATCCGGGACCCTGCTTAGACTGTGGAGGCAGCAGTCTAAGCAGGGACTCTCAAACTTCCTTCACCCCAGACACATCCTCCAGCTCCTCTGTGGGGACCCAGAGGCATTCCCAGGCTAGCCGAGAGACATAGTCCCTCCAGAGTGTCCTGGGTTTTCCCTGGGGCCTCCTCCCGGTGGGACATGTCCGGAACACCACCCCTCGGGAGGTGTTTAGGCTGTGTTCTCTCAAATTAGAAACTGTCTCTTCCACCTTATGATGTGATTCAGAGGTGACACAGGAAGTGCTCCTCTGTGTGCTCCATACACCTTCACTAGAATCATTCTGGAATTTTCTATCTGTACAAAACAAAAGGCAAAAGGTATAGCTGACTGTTTTATGACATCAGAAGGTGGATGTAGAGAGACTATAATAAAGGATTACTCAAAAATGTGTGAATGAAACAAAACACAACACCAGGTATGTTTTTGAGGACCCAACAACATTATAACATGGCTTAAAAAAACACAAGTCAGTTTTGCTTAATATTGGACCTTTAATAATTTTTTTGTATCAATATATTTTTATGACACAGTGAGCAACTTGTGTGTGTCTTAACTTATGTAATGTTATAAATATAAACATGATTCCCATATGTTCTGTCTTGTGTCTTTTATGTAATCAGGAGAAAAGCAAAAGGGCTCAGTATTGTATTAAATTGCCTTGTTTTGGTACAAGAAAATCTTGTTTTGGCTCATTACGTTCACACTTATTTGGGAGTAAATTTATTCTTAATTTGCATCAATCATGTACGAAGCATGCACCCCACACATCCAACCACAACATTAAGCACATTGTGTACAGTTCCCAGCAAAATACTGAACTGACCAAAATGACCCAAGTCAAACAGTTTACGGATTGCCCCCACTGATGGCAAGATGGATGGTGGACTGCTGCTACCAAGTATTATTTTTCACTGAGTTTTCACTGATACTACACAGTCATACAGAACTATTAAGGTGTAATCAGCCCGACCAGAGTTACTCCAACTTATCTGCTTATAACAATATCTGTTGTTTTGTACATACCAGACACCACAGTCATCTTAAATATCTGCGGTGCCTGGAATGTACAAAACAAGCAAAGCCAAAAATCTTAATGAGTAGTGACTTGGCCAGCCTTTTCCCAAAACCCAAAAAGAGTGTTAATTTTACTGCAATTCTCATAGTTATACTCAAGGCCTAATGTACTGATACTTAACACTTGTGCATACTTTTAGGAGATTTATTACCCATACTAAAAGGAATGTCTGCTATTTTGTCCATTGGTCAGTTCATCCCAACAGTTCCCAATTAATTTCATGTTCCACCAAGATCAACCATGTTAAAATTTATCTTTAAAATTAGCAATAAATAATACACGTCTGTGCTACTTACATGGGTGATTCATTGTACTCCCTCACCCCAAGACATCTTTAGAACTCCCTCCAGTGCATCTATCATATTGAGGCAACCAAATCTTGAAATAAGCCTTAAAGGTGCATTATGTAGCTTTTTCTTCATGGAGATGTTATTGCTTTGTCTGGAGTGTTTCACAGTATGGCATTAAACCTTTCTATCTTCACTGAGACCAAACCAGATGAAATTATAAGTCAGATCTGTGGAAAGGTAACCCCGCTCACAGTCAGAATGTCTGTTTTTTAAGGTGTTTTTGAGCTATAGAACCACCTGTAATTGAATAAATGTAAGGCAGAGTTGTTTAATGCCATACTGTGGAATTTTCAAAGCAGAGCATTGACATATCCATAAAAACAAGTAAGTGATGGGCCCCAACCAAAAAGTTACGCCTTTAATATTTTCTGCACACTTATATAAGGACAAAGTCTAAAACATATTCTGTGAAATACTGTAGAAAATTCTGACTACTCTTATCTGATTCTGTCAATGGGACCCCCCCGGACTCTTTAATAGTGCTTCATGGTCAAGTGGTGACATCGCCATCACAAAAAAATCTCCACTGCTGCACCTGTTTTCCATCTACGTTCACCAAGAGACTTTTAAACATGAGTAATATGAGCTCCATTTCCACCATACACAACTTCCTAAAATGGCGCAGAAACATGTACATTTTGGGATTACTTTATTGTCCATTCCCCTCACAATATTGTCTTTATACGGTAGTAGACTCTGAAGGCATTTGGTCATACTTCTGCTATGTCTGTCAGACTTTCCTCACCTAATTTTTCCTCCTGTCTCCAGTAAGCAAGCTACCAGCAGTGAGTGGAGAATGCCCCTCTGAATTACCATTTAGATTGGACAGCATGCCAAGAGAAAGCCAATTATTCAATGAAGCTGCTGTAAAGGAAGAAGGTAACCATTGCACAAACACCTCACCAGACAGAGGACCCACCACCACGCTATAACAAAGTAGTTTACTCACTTCAGTAGTGGCTAAACCAGTGGATTTCTTACCTCGTATTTTTTCTCAAACACTGATGTAATTTAGCGACAATTGCTGACGTTAATAATTAAGAATGACAAATTAGATTACTCAAGTTAGAATGTGAAGAAAGTACCCAATTTTCCAGCAACATGCGTCAGAAAATTATGGGAACTGCTTTATTTGGCAGCGATAAGACACTATTCCCATGTATTTTTGAACAAAAAAAAAACATGCAATGGAATAAATATTTGATAGAGATGTTTAATGTGTGTGGAACAGTTCTGGCAAGCCTAACCCAGGCACAGTAATAACAACACATGCTGTAGTCTAACCTCAACCAGAAAAGTTCCACAGTGCACCTTTAAACTGAAGCAATTTATATTTTTCGACTGAACTTAAGTCGGTAGCGCCCAGGTTGGCGTCAGATAAAAGGGAATGAGATTAAATGCGTTTGAATGTGTTTTTGTATCCACAGCTGCCTGGACATCTGCCTGCTCAGCTGTTGTGTTTGTGCGTTTGCTGAATGGATTACAGCAGTTGGGAATTGAGATTTAGGACTATTTATAAAGTTTAGTCTAATTTCTCTGTGTTGACAGTTTTGCTACTGCTATGCTGGGTCATCTCATCGACTGACCAATCAATCACCTTTTTCTCATGTTGGTTAAAAACTGTTTAATCTTGCGCTCTGCTGATTATTAGTTTAGTTTATTTTGTTTATTTTACAGGAAACATGAACGGAGCCTTATTATTCTCTTACTCTTGTGAGCTTTAATCCATGTTACAATGCTGTTACCTCATCAAAACATATCTGGAGTTGTGTTTTGTTTCATTCACACATGTTTGAGTAATTTATTATTATTCTGTCTACATTTCTAAATATCAAAATGCTCTGTTCCACCTTGTGATGACATGTAGTGAAAGTATTCAAGTTAAGACCTACTTTTTTGTTCAGTAGACATTGGTAACTCCAGGGTTGAAAGTGTTCAAATGATTCTAGTGAAGGTGTATGGAGTTTAAAAACATAGTGGAGCACTTCCTATATCACTACATTACATCAAAAGGTAGTACAGAGTGTTTTCCATTTGAGAGAAGAACATGTGTGAATGAAACAAAACACTAGGAATGTTTTTGATGAGGAAACAACATAATAACATAGATTAAAAAAAATAAAGTAATATAGACCCTCAAAGACACATTAAATAGATGCTTTGTACCAAACTATAGCTCCAGAAGCTAATTTCCATCCAACACATAGAATGCACAGAAAAGTACAATCACTATACACAAACAGCAGAATTATTTCATGATAAAAATACAATGACATTAAAAAGCTCTATTCCTTTCTCTAGTCTACAACGCCTTTGCTCTTAATCTGATATAAATTACTAAAGTTGTTTCTCCCACATTTAGAAACACAACAGCTTCACTAATGTTGGCACTTCTGTGTTGTTAAAAATGTTTTCTTAATTCTGCACAAAACTTTTTGAGGTCTTTGCATAACTTTTAATGCGTTGGTAGTTTGTTCCATTGTGTTCTAGTTGTGAAAGAGAATGTGGATTGGCCTAGTGCTGTTTTTCTTTGATAATGGGAGTAAAAACAGAACCTAACCAAAACAAAATAAAAAAATAAACTGTGAGGTGTAACATTTAAAACAAAGAAATATGTTTGAACACATTTAGACAAGTACACTTCCAAGGCAAATGTAGAGGATGAAGTAATAAACCAGTCACTACTTCATCAATTTGAGTGATTGAATAAACTTTATTGTCCTCAAGAGCCAATTTATCTTAGGCAGAGTGCTACACAGTTGCAATAGATAAAACATTAAAAGAAACAGACTAGACAACAACTAAAACACGCTTATGTGCATGTAAAGCTATGATGAGCTTTGAGAAGGGCACTGCTGCTCTTGGAGTTGAGCAGACTGATCATGGGGGTGTTTCTATGCTCATTTTCTTACATGCTTAGTGCATGTTTTGTACTTTTATTTGGATAAAAAAAACTGTATTAAAGTTATATTAAAATCAGGACAATTATCAAACATGTTTTCACATAGGTAGCTGTGTTCTTACTTTTGCAATCCGGATAATCCTCATTCTGCTAGGCTTGTTTTATTTCCTCATTTAAAGGTCCTATATTACACAAAATTGATTCTTGTGAGTTTTAAGCTATATTAGAATCTTATTTCTTCACCAAAGACATACCTGGAGTTATGTTTTGTTTCACACACGTTTGAGTAACACTTTATTATTAGTCTGTCTAGATCTCCAAAGCTCAAAATGCTCTGTTCCACCTTGTAATGTCATGTAGAGGTAGTTTTTGAGTTAAAAGTTGTTTTAGTTCTTTTACCTAGTGTCCAAATGATTCTAGTGAAGTAAGTTTAAAAACATAGTGGAGCTCTTCTTATATAATCACTGTATTGCCAGGTCACAAGGCGGGACAGAGTGTTTTCCATTTGAGAGAAGAACCAAGATATGCAGGATTTGTGTGTTAAACACGTGTGAATGAAACAAAACAACTCCAGTTATATTTGTAATGAGGAAACAACTTTATAACATAGATCTGAAAACTGTTTAATATGGGCCCTTTAAGCAACCATTTTAACCTTTACCGTATTACCACACACACATTTTCAGGTAAGCACTTGACAGCAAAAACACACGTCCCAGTGGTTTAGGGTTCCATCTGCCAAGGGTGATGGGACTGGATTATCTGACTGCCACCAAAACCCTTTCAAGAGCAATAAAAATAGATTGTGTGAGAAATAGAGGCACTGCCATTGTGAATACTGACTAAGAGCATCGGCCTGATATCAAACAAAAGTCAATACCCTCATTATTTGCTGCATATGGAAACCTTGGTCACTGCTTTTAGCTCCCCTGCTTACAATCTAAAGCTACATGTCAGTGCAGATGAAAGGGCCCATATTACGCTTTTTTCTGATCTATGTTATAATGTTTCTTCAAAACCATGGTATTTTGTTTTGTTTAATTCACACGTTTATGTAACACATAAACGCAACATATTTATACTCTCAAACAGAAAACATTGTCCCACCCTGCCCTGGAATTGTTAGAAGAAGTTAAAAGGTAGCTGTAACTTGAAA